AAAAGAGCTAGAGAACAATCAAAGATTAGGAAGCAAGGGATATGAAGATGAAAGTCGTCCAGCTCAAAAATCAGGCAAAAGATATAAGAAAAATCAATACTTTAGTGATGAGGAAGATTTTAGTGAATGAGTAAATGTTTTAAAACCATACAGATTTATAACATTGAAACATTGTATTATGGTCAAGTTTAAAGAATAATTAACCTTAAGTTTGTAAAATATTACCTTGTACATAGATCTGTAAATATATACGTCATTTATTTGTATTTATATGGATTGTAACAAATTTTTAATATAAACTTAAATTACGAATTGAAATTTCATTTCATAGTAACTGAACATAAAAAAAAGTAAAATTGTTTTAATTAGTTTTTATATAAATCAATACAAATATTATATTAAGAGCATCAGTGGATTGAGACATATTCTGTTTTACATTATGTTTATAGCATGATTGATTTTTTAGTAACTTAACCTGACAGAACCATTTCAAAGCCATAATAAGAATTTATTAACCGTATTCTTAGAAATGCTAGCCGCTTTTTTCTGTAAATACTAATGCATTTCGAAGAGTTAAAATTAAGTATTAGTGAAAATTAACACGAAATTAAAACAACACTATATCGTGATCAAAAAATTAATAGCTAGTAAAAAAAAAGTTTAAAACATAACCTCAAAGCATGAAAAAATTGACTTGTTTGTCAGGTTTAGATTTGTTAAGTACATATGCTTCTGATTCTGAAGATGATGATGATGTTAACGATAATGATAAATCTAATGAAAATTTTAAACGGTATTTATTTTGCTTATTTTTAATAATTACATTTCATAACCGTTTATAGGTATTAAAAATCATGATAATCTTATCATTAGAAATTCTTAAATTACATACATTTTTTAGATATATACATACTAAGACATTTAATAAATTTACTTTTTTAATTTTTCTAAGAAAATATTACTTTTGTAGATTGCCTTTACCTGTAAGTATTCTAGCATGGGAGGGTGTCCCACATCATGAAGATGTATATGACAATCCATCACAACATGAAGGAAGAGTAAGAAGTTTTAAGCATGAACGTGGAAATTGGGCTACCTTAATTTATATTAATTGTTAGTCTATAAACAAATAAGCAATACTGCCACAATTGCATAAATAAAGACAAAATATTAATTTTTTATTTCAGATGAACCTAGTGAGAACATGCTTTCATGGATGTTTTCAATATTAAAAGAATTGTCAGTAAAATGTAATATACTTTCTGAGCAGTTTCATATTAGTGTAACAAGAACATTAATTTTAAAGTTTCATTGGATTGAATCCTTTGTAGAGGAAACCAAAAAGTTATGCAGGCAGACAGACCAATTTAGTTTAGAACTTTTAAATGTACAAGTATATACTAATGAAGAAAATATGCGTACATTTCTTGGAATACAATGTGTTGATTGCAAAGGAACTCTTACTCACTTTGTAAAAAATCTTAATAAAATTCTTGCAGAATATGAGTTACCACCTTTTTATGAAGTAAGTAATATACATAGGTATAAATATTACATAAAAATAAGACAATTATTTTTAACAAAAATTTAATTCAACATAATTTATTTTGTTATATAACGAATTGTAGACTGTTTTTCATTTTTAGGACTTTTCCTATCACATTAGCTTTATGTGGTGTCTTGGAAATGAAGTTTCAGTTTTAAATGATTATACATATTCTTTAACTACTAAATTAAATCAATTTCTAATTGAGAATGCAGAAGAAAGGTATATACATGTTACAACAATACACCTTAAGATTGGAAACAAATTATATGCATTTAAACT